CTATTTCAAGAAAACTACGTCATCGAGTGGCGCCGAATCACTGTTTAAATGCCCAGCATACTTGTGCTACCAAGCAAGCCTCCTCCACATTGACGGCCCGTCCACACACAGGCATGAAAAAAATCTTGAAAAATCTTGATGCTGGGCGTGTCTGAAGCGTTGCGATTTTTTGCGACCAACAACCAATCACATGAATCTCCCGCCCCCGACATACAAAGCAATAGAAATGTTAAAACGAAGTAAACTGGATATAAACTCCCCAAACAGGCGAAAACCTACCAGTTTCACCCACTGTCTCTGCCACCTCCCTCCATGCCTGGTTCCTCCGGTTTGTATCCCGGTAAATAGTTTTGGTCGTAAAGAACCGGGTGATTTGCTACCGTAATTTCTCGTTTGGAATATGAGGAAATGAACTGCGGTCTGGCTCTCCCAGCTTCCACGCGGTTTGATTGGCTAGCGCTTGTACTGGCGGGATTTGCATAAACGGGATTTGATTGGCTGATGCCAGCTTCGAAAGCATCGGGAGCATCAAAAGTTGAACATTGCTCAACTTTTGATGCTCCCGATGCTTGCAAAGCCATGCTCCACTCCCCACAATGCAGTTCGGCGAAGATTAAAAATCTTCTACGTCACCCCACTCAAGTGAATGGGCGAAGCTTTGAAGCTTTGAAAGATTTTTTTCATGCCTGTGTGTGGACGGGCTGTAAGAAACGGCCTCTGGTTCCTGGGCTGTTTTTGAGATGTATCGCCCCCTGGTGGATGAGTATTGTACAGTTAGCTACAGAGACTGTATGTGACTGGGGCTCTCTGTGATGTGCAGGACACAGGAGTGGGGATGAACCAAGAGGAGCTGGTGGCCAACCTGGGTACCATCGCCCGCTCAGGGTCAAAGGTCAGTGTGTTTATATACAATGAACGACCCAATGAATGCATTAGTTTATGTCTATGAATGTCACACTTTTGTTATGATGAAGCCATAATAATCATTCCTTCCCTGCAGGCCTTTTTGGATGCCCTGACCAACCAGGCGGAGGCCAGCAGCACCATCATTGGTCAGTTCGGGGTGGGCTTCTACTCCGCCTTCATGGTGGCTGACTCGGTGGAGGTCTACTCCCGGTCCGCTGAGCCCGACGCACCCGGATACAAGTGGTCCTCTGACGGGTGAGAGGGGGGCGAGGGATGGGGAGGACAACATTTTATATCAAGAGTGGGAATGAGTGTTCTTCAGTGTTATTGTTTTCTGCAGCAGAACAAAGAATGTATACATGCATCTGTCCATCACTGGCCCAAAAAGTGAATCTAAACTAAAGCTAGCTATCTGCCAAACAAATTTGGAAATAAAAACAACATGGGATCCTGAGACATTCTCTGTCATTGTCTTCATCAGCTCTGGAGTTTTTGAGGTCGCTGAAGCCACCGGTGTTCAACAGGGAACAAAGATCGTGCTGCACTTCAAAGACGACTGCAAAGAGTTTTCCGCTGAGGACAGAGTCAAAGGTATAACTGCTGTTACTGCGGTGATAAAACACATACGTGTAGCGTCGCCCCATGAGCTAACTAGCTGTTGTTTCTCTTTCAGAGGTTGTAACAAAGTACAGCAACTTTGTCAGCTTCCCCATCTTCCTGAACGGGCGGAGGCTCAACACTCTGCAGGTGAGCCCGTGACTCTGCTGTTCAATGTGACCTTACTCAAAGAAAAATTCAAAGAGGTCATTGTGTAAATACGGTTGAGCTCGACCAGTGAAGCTGTTTTCTGAGCAAACCCTTCACTTGAACTGTGTAAACATTAGATCTGGGTCAGGTGGGCTTTTGAAGCAGTTACAACTTCTTTCATTTATAAAAAAATGATCTGTGACCCACAAATTTATGTTGCCTCTGCAGACATATATTAGGCTTTATTTGAGTTCCTTTCTGCACACACTGGCACAGTTTTAAATGAAATAGTCTCAGTATTTACAATATATTCATACCTAGGTGGACGTTCTTATCATTATTTTGATGACTTGACCACAGTGTTGTGAATGTTAAATATGGTTTGTTAGTTAGTTTAGTTTAATTTTGCAGTCTGGGCTGAGGAGTACATCTGAAGTTAGAAAGCACTGTAGTAACATGTTATACATGTTTGTAAAATATGTTGGTTTTGTGCTCTGATTCCCCTCAGGCCTTGTGGATGATGGAGCCTAAAGAGATCAGTGACTGGCAGCACGAGGAGTTTTACCGTTACGTGGCCCAGGCCTACGATAAGCCCCGCTACACGCTGCATTACCGCGCCGACGCACCCGTCAACATCCGGAGCATCTTCTATGTTCCTGACGCGGTGAGCAGACACTTCAAAATGAATTTTAACTATTTTCTGGGCCCCATAATGTGTCTTAAACAACTCCGGAAATTATGCCAACCTGAAATGTAACTCTTCCCCCAAGACATTTTGTTTCATAGGTGGTATTAAGCACAAATGAACTTATTTCATCAATCGTTATTTCTGCCCCAACAGAAGCCGAGCATGTTTGATGTGAGCAGGGAGATGGGCTCCAGCGTGGCTCTGTTCAGCCGGAAGGTTCTGATCCAGACCAAAGCAACCGACATCCTGCCCAAGTGGCTGCGCTTCCTCCGAGGTTTGCATCGTTTATTATACTCTACTGTATTATTTTAGGCGAAACAAACGTTTTTTATGTTCCAGCACTGAGTTTGACTTTGTGTGTGCAGGTGTGGTGGACAGTGAGGACATCCCACTGAATCTGAGCAGAGAGCTGCTGCAGGAGAGCGCCCTCATCAGGTAAAACAGCAGTTAGTCAAGCCTGTCGCAATAACTACTTCGGTTTGACAATATGTTGTCCCAGGAACAATTGTGATATGTGTGCAATGTTATTTTCGTTTATAGACCACTTTATGCCACTGATAATGATAATATAAGAATCAGAATCAGGTAGGTTGACACGTACGAGGAATTTGACTTGGTGTCGTGGTGCATACATAAAGTAAAACAAAAATTAAAAACACAGATAGAGAACTAGAAAAATATAAAAAATATAGTAAAATATAACAGTATTTATTTACATATAAATGGAATGGAATAAAAAGGACTAAAATACGGAATAAAAATCGGCAGTAATAAAAAAACAGATATGGTTGTACATTGTGTGCATTAATGTAATGCATAGAGTCTATAAGAGCATACATGTGCAAGTACACACTTTCAAAGAGTATTTTCAGTTAAATAGGAATGGTACTATTGTATATAACATTATGAAATATCCAAAATAGTCAAATGAAACCACACAACAAAAACAATAAATAAAATGGACTCTGTCAACACATTGTGTGAACCGTAAGTCTTCTAATGGCAACAAACAAGCATATGAACACAACTGGTGTAATCACATCATCTTATCCTCAAAATCTATATCTCTACCATTTTTGGGAATATTCACTAACGATGCAATTCTCAGTTCCTACCTTGTTTTCCAATATTGATCCCCTGATTTATTTTTTCTCCCTCCCCTCTGTCTCCAGGAAGCTGCGTGACGTTCTGCAGCAGCGTGTGATCCGCTTCCTGCTAGACCAGGGCAAGAAGGAGCCGGAGAAATACAAGAAGTTCTTTGAGGAGTACGGCCTCTTCATGAGGGAGGGCATCGTCACCACGCAGGAACAAGACGTCAAGGTAGAGATGCACACAACTTCCTACAGATGTGGCCAAAGCTTGATAAATGTGTTGTCTGGAACATGATAACAGTGTTGGCCCCCCCTGCTGTCTCTCTACAGGAGGACATTGCGAAGCTGTTGAGATACGAGTCCTCTGCTCTGCCTGCCGGCGAGCAGACCAACCTGATGGAGTACTCCTCCCGCATGAAGGCCGGCGACCGCAACATCTACTACCTGTGTGCCCCCAACCGCCATCTGGCAGAGCACTCCCCGTACTACGAGGCCATGAAACAGAAAGACATGGAGGTGAGAGGGCGGAAGCAATGGCATGTGTGCTGAGAAAGAAAGCAATATCAGAAAGTCATAGTTCTGTTACACCTTACAGAGGGCACATCATCACAGTATCCACACAATTATTGAGCTGTTAATACTCACTTAACTTAGTTTGTATGATTTTCATTCATGTTCAGTTCTATGTTGCTTTCCCACTTACTTTTTGTTTTACTTTACTTGGTTATGAATCAAATCAAAAACAATGTGATAGATTTAACCTGTTAAACCCCAAAGCCCCCCTTGGCGGGGGCTTTTTTTTTTTTTTTTTTTACGACACTGTGTCTCAGGGCATCTTAATCTTAATATTTAAGAACCTATTAATGTGTTATACCAGATTAACGGGAAGAATCTCAGCTAACTGACGATACAAACCATTTTTACCAAATCATAAGAAGCATCTAAATAAGGGGTTCCCAACCTTTATTGTGCCAAGGACCGGCAGATACATTAAAAAAAAATTGCGGACCGGTTGTCAATTTTAACTTATTTGAATATTTACTCACCAGCAGGTGGCAACAGAGGCTAATTGTATTTAAGAGCCTGAAGAAATATCAATATGCATCCAAAACATAACAACGTTTAAAACCAGGATACAATTAAAACAAAAAATTAGGACCGCTTTACAAATATTAATATAATATATAATATAATATAGGTGGCAACAGTGGCTAATTGTATGTAAAAGCCTGAACAAATAATAGAATAATATGCATCCAAAACATATTAACACAGTTTAAAACCAGGATACAATTAAAACAAATTAGGACCACTGTACACATATTGATACAACTGAAATGTCAGTGAGACCCCTGGGCTTGTTTGCCAGCAATAATAACGTCATACCGGGACGTTCGTTCCGGTGCACTCCGACAGCTAGCACTACATCGAGATTAAGATTAAACTAACTTCTTTTGGGAACACCCACATACCTATGGAGTTGGCCAGATGTGAGTAAATTACTGTTCATGGTAATTTGAAAACAAATGCCGTTGTTGGACACACACAAACACACCGAACATACACACACACAGCGGAGCGGAGCAGAGCACAAACACACACGTGCGGTGACGTTCATGGCTGGTGAGGCACTGACTCTTTCAGTCAGATTTACAAATATTATATTTTGACCTTAATCGAAATGTCCGGTTATTTTTAAAAGCTTTTTTAGTCTGATGCTTCGATTCATTTTAAACAGACTGTTCAACAAAAGGATACTCAAAATCTAAATATTTGATTGTTCTCTTTTAGTAAGATGATCCCATGTTCATTACAATTGTGGTCTTACCTTGACTTGAAGATGAAGTCCATGCTATCCTTCTGGACAACAATCTCCATTACATTTTTGTAAAACGGTGGCCTCTCCTCGGTATTGAGACGCGTGACTATTCCCCCCGTGCACTCGGGTGTCCAAGAACAACGATGACAAAAGTAAGATGCGTCTCATCCTCTGCGTTTGGTGGTTGATCTGAAAACAAAACTAAGCATCTCCCTCT